AACATGATTATTTACTTCTTCCATGGGGTAGGGGGAGAGAGAGAAAGAAAGAGAGAGAGAGAGAGAAGACTAGAAGGGAGAAACACCTGTAGCAGAGTCCTCCTGCCATGATTCGTCCCCAGGCTTAGCTAGCCCAGGTCATAGTCATGTCCATTTGCCCTGTGTATACAGGGAGGCCCCGGGAGAAAAACCCAGGACCTTCCGATGTGTAAATATGGGAATTTCTGAAAGCCTTGGGACATAACCTTCATGTGTTTCAAAGAATTATCATAGTCACAGGTAAACTAATACATACTGAACAGCTTAGATTTCTTATTCAGTTTTGTGGGTTGGTTTAGCAATTCACAATCCCTTTCTGTGTTGTCATAAGTCTATTTTTTTAATAATTATTTTATTTTACTTTATTTATTTATTATTTTATTTTAATTTGACCAAAGAAGGACAGAGTGAGAGAGAGAGGGAAAGTGAGAAAGGAAGCCACCAAGTCCAGGACCTGAACCATGGTCGGCCAGGTGGGAGTCCAGCACCCTTAACCACCACACCACTTGCCAGACCCACTAGCTGCCTTTTAAAGAGTCTTGTGTTCTTTTAAACTTAAATATCAAATCTGTTACTATAAGTATACTAGATGTTAAAAATGACTTACTTTTAAAAGTTACTTAAGTAATGAATTTGTATTACGTTATCAGTTTACATCTCTGCTCAACTGTGGATGGGGCGGAAGTGCTATATTTTGAACTTGGTAGCAATTGAATGTGGTAGGTAATATGTTGACATTAAAGGCAAAAAATAAATTAAGAGACAAAAGTTCTCTAAAGACAAAAAGGATAGTAATTGATCTTACATAGATTCATGTCATTAAGGTGGAAATGACTTTTCTCCTTTGTAAAATATTGATTAAATAAAAGCAAATAGGACTTTTGTTATATAAAGTATTTTTCCACTCTACATAAGATGTCAGAGCATAAAGGAAAGTTAATTCAGCATTTATTCTAGACAAGTTTAGTGTATTACCAGGAACACAGGAAACTAAAATCCTATTGGCAGTGATTTAACTGAATTAAAAATTGCTTGGTCTAAAAATAAGAATTAACTTAGTTCTTCCAAATAAGACTTTTATTAACTAAAAATTGAGAGAGTTTTGTAAGTACATAGTATATTAAAAATGAAATTACTTTTTTATAATATGAAATTGTTGTTTTAGACAATTTTAGAGAATATAAATAATTACCAATTTTAACTTTTTAATTATTGTTACTGATGATTTTGTTAGCTTGATTTGTAATAGCAGGTTATAATGTCCAATTTGAATTTAAAAATAATGATCATGTGTCTTTTACAGTGGATCAGGGCAAACTATTAAAATGCAGACAGAAAACTTGGGCGTTGTTTATTATGTCAACAAGGACTTTAAAAATGAATATAAAGGAATGTTGTTACAAAAAGTAGAAAAGAGTGTGGAAGAAGATTATGTGACTAATATTCGAAATAATTGCTGGAAAGAACGACAACAAAGTAAGTTTATCAAAACAGTTTAACACTTATTCAGTGTTTGGGATTGTTACTGTAGA